CTTAACACTAGGCCTCTTCGTCCTAGATTCCTTCAGTGCCTCGTATAAACAGCACGGAAAAAAGCATTAGATCACAAGAGAAATATGTGAGCACAAGGAATAACATAGAATAAAAGAACCCAACCCTCCAAGCAAGACAGAGTTTGCACCTTAATAGTCTTGTTCACTACAACATCATCCACTTCTTCTCCATCATTAGGACTGTACTCTGGGTCATCATTGATAACTCCACTACCTCCTTGAACCTCATCACTTCTACCTTCTTGTACACCATTTGTTTTCCTAATCATCGATGCTATTGCACCGATGCCAAGGGACTGGAACATCCGATTGTTCCTCATGATATTTCTAGCCCTAACCTTCTCGTACTCGGTGAGAGGTTCTTCTTTGCATGATAAAGGATTCGTAACTATTAGGTGAATGTTTGGAATGCATGGACAGGCAGCCAAACATATCTTATGAAATTTTATTATCATTTAATCCTAGTTATCCAGGTAAGGAAGACTAACAGCACACAGGCACAATTAAGCCAGCTTATTCAGATTGCAGCAATACATTTCACTTAGCATATTAAGACACAAATTTTATGAAACTGACAGTATAACCACAAGGAGCAAGTTGCATACCAACGGTTGGCCTCATGCTTGACCTTGTCATCCTTGCCATGGATGATCTTGAGGTGGTGCTTGCAAAATAGAATAAACAACAATCAGATACAACAGGGATAAAGTAAAATGATGCACTTGTATCAATAAAGGAAAACATTTGGACCATCATGCACATATAGTGATGTAGTGTTATTAATTAAGCAAACATGTAAGTGCAGTAAACAAGCATGCATGTACACTAGAAATATATGTACACTAAACAAGCAAGCAAGCAAAGTGCTACTGATAGAAACAAGAAGGCAATGAAGGAAACTAAAGAGAAGCAAGCAAGTACTATTGATACAAACCCTAATTAATAAGCAAGCAAGTAGCTTCTTCTCCATGTGCTACTGATACAAGCAAGTACTGCTGATGGAAACCCTAATTAAGCATGTATGCTAGCAAGCAACATGTATGTTAGCAAGCAAGCAACATGAACTAGTGAATTGGTGTCATGTACACATGTCTGACAGCAAGCTAGATGAGTATATCATGAGGACCTTCAAAACAACTAGATGTTGCCACTGGTAAAGCATGAAACAACAGTACTTGCAGAAGTACATAAGAAGACGAAAAAGTTATTCTCAACTAATATTATGCTGCCTCTACACACCAAAAATGGCTACAAACTAGAAGACACACAAGTTAAGACATTTCGACAATTAGAATCGACCTTCATGTATTATATTAAAACTAGTATATATTAAAACTAGTCATACTGCCTTGACACACCAGGAATTCCAATACCACAATAAGTACTAAGCATTCTCGTGTTCACTGGAAAGAAGAACACAAGCTTCATGCACATATCATGAAAGAAGAACACTGCTACAAACCCCAGTAGTGCTACTGATAGCAAAGTGCTACAAGCAATCAAGTACATGTTCACACTAACCCTAGTTGCAAGAAAGCAAAGTGCATAAGTGCTACTAATACCAGCAAGCAAGCATGGAAAGTGCTACTGATAGAAACAAGCATAGTGCTACTGGCAGTAACAAGCAAGCAAGGAAGGAAATTGAAGGGCAACAAGCAAGCAAGTACTGTTGATACAAACAAGCAAGCAAGTAGCTTCTTTTCCAAGTGCTACTGATACAAGCAAGTAGTGCTGTTGGAAACCCTAATTCACCATCTATGCTAGCACATACTGATACAAGCACCATGAACCAGACATCATCCACTTCCTCATCCCCTAAAATCATCCACTTCCTCATCCATCCCCATCCCCTAAAATCATGCACTTCCTCTCCAACATGAACCCTAAACCATGAAGCGGATCGAATGAACCACCAGGAGGTCCTAACCCTAACCCCATGAACCCCATGAACCCTAACCCTGACCCCATGAACCCTAACCCTAACCCCATGAACATCAGGAGATCCAGGAGATCCTAACCCATGAGGGGGATCGACCAGAGGGGAGATGGATCCACCAGAGGAGGGGAGATGGATCAAGGGGAGAAGTACCTAGGGGGAGATAATGTTGATGATGCAGCGGTGGTCGTTGTCGATCGCGTAATCGTTGATGTAGCCACCGTTGTCATTGATGTAGTCGATGTAGCCGCCGTCGTCGTTGATGTAGTCGATGTAGCCACCGTCGTCGTCGATGTAGCCGCCGTCGTCGTCGAAGTAGTCGATGCGGGTGATGTAGTCGATGCAGGCGATGTAGGGCAGCGCGACGCGGTGGGGCAGCGCGGTGGGGCGGCGGGGAGCGGGGGAGGGAGCGGGGCGGCAGGGCAGGGTGGCGCGGAGCAGGGGCGCCGAGCGGGGCGGCGCGTCCGGGGTGGCGCTAGGGTTGTGGAATGGGGAATGGAGAGGGGAAATTTTGGGAAGGGAGGGAAGGGGATCCTGCGTGTTAGTGGGAGAGGGAGTGGTGGGTCCCGCCTGGTAGTGGGAGAGGGAGTGGAGGGAAATTTTGGTGGAGGGAAAATTTTGGTGTGGGAGGGAAATTCTTTTGGGTTTGGGGTAGAAAAAAAAGGTTTTTTTGTAAATTTTGAAGAAATCATGGTTAAAATCATACCGAGTAGCTCAAGAAAACGCCGGTATTGCAAGTTCAGTATTTTTGCGAGTTGGTAGGCCACATTTGATGATGTGACACGGAGGTCTCCCATTTTTTGATTTTTTTTGAATTTTTATGGTCTTCTAAAAAACCGGCCGATTTCATCGCGGCGGCCGTCTGTGGCTAGGGTTTGAGCCGTGCAAATCTGTTGTCGATTCTGTGATGAAATGCCTACCTGTGAAGGTAAAAAGCATTTTTAGTGAAAATAACGGGCAAGCTATGGAGGACCCGCAGTTCAAATTTCAGCCGGTTCCAGCTGAATCGGCCGAAGGTGGTCTAAATTGCCGGGAGTAGCTACGAGGGTCAGAAATGCATGCTTTTTGGCGACCATCCATAAAATAGGGTCTACTTTGAGATAGACATGGAATGGCACCTTTTGGGATGACCCTCCTTGTAGCCGCTTCACGAAAAACGCATGTCTTTAGCATTCAAAAAATGAAAAACGGTTTTTTTGTTAAACAAGTTGGAACCTCGCTTTGGCAACATTGTTTGCCATCACAAGACGGAGGCATGCGCCAAATTTGGGCATATTATCAGAAACTATTCAACATATGCGGCCATATCATTACTAGTTTGGCTTGAAAGCCATGAATCTTCGTTCATGGTAGGTTGTTTTTGACAACACTTTTTCAAGAAAACGCCGGTATTGCAAGTTTAGTATTTTTGCTAGTTGGTAGGCCACATTTGATGATGTGACGCGGAGGTCTCCCATTTTTTTTGATTTTTTTGAATTTTTTTACGGTGTTCTCAAAAACCAGCCGATTTCGTCGCGGCGGCCGTCTGTGGCTAGGGTTTGAGCCATGCAAATCTGTTGTCGATTCTGTGATGAAATGCCTACCTGTGAAGGTAAAAAGCATTTTCAGTGAAAATAATGGGCAAGCTATGGAGGACCCGCAGTTCAAATTCCAGCCGGTTCCAGCTGAATCGGCCGAAGGTGGTCTGAATTGCCGGGAGTAGCTACGAGGGTCGGAAATGCATGATTTTTGGCGATCGTCCGTAAAATAGGGTCTACTTTGAGATAGACATGGAATGGCGCCGTTTGGGGTGACCCTCCTTGTAGCCGCTTCATGAAAAACGCATGTCTTTAGCATTCAAAAAATGAAAAACAGTTTTTTTGTTAAACAAGTTGGAACCTCGCTTTGGCAACATTGTTTGCCATCACAAGACGGAGGCATGCGCCAACTTTGGGCATATTATCAGAAACTATTCAACATATGCGACCATATCATTACTAGTTTGGCTTGAAAGCCATGAATCTTCGTTCATGGTAGGTCGTTTTTGAGAACACTTTTTCAAGAAAACGCCGGTATTGCAAGTTTAGTATTTTTGCTAGTTGGTAGGCCACATTTGATGATGTGACGTGGAGGTCTCCCATTTTTTGATTTTTTTTTGAATTTTTATGGTGTTTTCAAAAACCGGCCGATTTCATCGCGGCGGCCATCCGTGGCTAGGGTTAGAGTCATGTTTTTAGCATTCAAAAAATGAAACTTATATTGTTTCATACATGAGCATGCACAAAAACCCATAATTTTATCTTTCATCCATGAGCATGCTTAAAAAATTTCAATTCCCATCAATTGCCAAACTGAATATTCATTGTTAAGGGTGGGCATAGAGTACAAAACCAACAATATCTTCCTAGCCCAGTGGTAGAAACCAAGTTAGCTAAGCACACGGTCGTGGGTTCGAGCCCCCGCGCGCGCATAATTTTTGGCCACGCACATATTTTTGGTAGCTTCGGTACAATAGCAAAATGGGTCGAGTGGCCCACTTGTTAGTGAGGTGTGTGCTTGATACCGACTAGTTTTATATATTCAAAAGGGTTGGCATGGAATGGAAGACTAATAGTCTCGTCCTAGCCCAGTGGTAGAAACATAGTGAAACAAGTGCACGGTCGTGGGTTCGAGTCCCAGCTGGCGCATATTTTTTTGCTCACAATGAAATGGGTTCAGTTGAAGCAAAATTCAGTTAAAATAGCATCTTCAGTTCAAAAAAACTACTAAATGATCACAAAAAATACTAGACAACATTCTGTATGATCTGACCAAAACTTGAACTAAATGATCACCAAAACTTGAAGGATTTTGCATCACATCACAACCATAAGTGTTTTTTCATTTCTGCACCAGCATCATAACAATCACAACAAGTGTTCTGCACCAGCATCATAACAATCACATAACTAAATAACAAAAGCAAACTTGTTCATCATTACAAAAGCAAACTTGTTCAACATAACAAAAGCAAACTTGTTCAACCACATAACTACAAACTGAGACACATAATACCACAAACAACTCAATATCCCCAGTAGTAGGGGTCATCCCAATGATCCTCCGCCTCTTTCCATTGCTTCAAACCTTCTTTGATGGTTTCGATTTTCTTCCATGCCTCGTAGGTGACGTACGCATCTTTTGCTGCATACTTGATGAGGTTGTTTGGCAGTGGGCTGACCCCCCATAGTTTGTGGTCCAATTTCTTGTTGATCTTCTGCTTCATTTCCTTGTAGGATGGGTGGATGAGGATGGCTGCAAACTTAGCCAAAGACTGCCACTTCTTTCCTTTGTTTGGAACTCTCCATTTGCGCTGCAAGTCGACGAACTTGTCGGGGTTGATCTCCAAACCAGACAACTTCAGCTTCTCCTTGTCACCTCCAATGGAGAAGCCAACAAAGGTGTACAACTTCTTCTCCTGCAGGAGCGGGCGGAGTTCCTTGGGCCTGCATCAAATTAATCTGGTGCATCAAATTCATCTACTTCAAAAACTACACTTGTACAGCCAGTTCAGAAACTTCAGAACTAGTATTGCATCTACTTCAGAACTTCAGAACTATTGCATCTACTTCAGAAACTTCAGAAACTACTAATTAGACAGAAACTTCAGAACTTCAGAACTAGTATTGCATCTACTTCAGAACTTCAGAACTATTGCATCTACTTCAGAAACTTCAGAAACTACTAATTAGACAGAAACTTCAGAACTTCAAAAACTTCAGAACTGGATGTTTTTACCATTTGGTTGCCACGGTGATGTGGTATACCAGGACAAGATCCTCCATGCATAACTGCAGAACTGCAGCCATTTGCGGAGGTTCGTCTTCCCTGGTATACTCGACATCAAGGCCGATCAACCAAGAAAGCATGCCGCCGAGCCTCCTCCTGATCTCGCGGATCCTCTTGTCGGCTTCGTCTGGATTGCTGGTGCATACGACATCCAGCTTCTCCTTCAGGTGGATATCAACCTTGAGCGCCACGGTGTAGTCCTGCTTCTGCCCAGGGACCGGAACATCGTCGTCGACCACCAGCGGCTCCTTGCCAGACGGAGGGGAGTTGCTCCATGATGCCTCCGCCATTCTCTTGGCAGACGGAGGGGAGTTGCTCCACGATTCCTCCGCCATTGCCCTCCTGGCCAGCGATGGTGGAGGCAGAGGGGAGTTGCTTGATGGTGGAGGCAGAGGGAGGTAGAGGGAGGAAGATGGAGCTGCAATGGAATGAGGAGGGAGGCAGAGGGAGGAAGATGGAGCGGCAATGGAATAGGAGGGGAGTTACCTAGACTGGAAGAAAACCCCCTCTGCGTCGTGGGGAGTTGCCAGTGGAGGGGAGACGTGGGGAGTTGCCTCGAAAACTCAAACGTCCTGCCCTTTGGCCCTCGAAAACTCTGGAGGGGAGACGTGGGCCCTTTGGTTTCTCCTGTTTCTAAAACAAAACAAAAAAATAACAGCCATATTTTGCTCTAAAATTAATGATCACCGCAACCATATTAAGAGATCAATCTTCAAGCATTAAAACAGCACCAAAACAGTCACTGCAGCCATCCAAAATGGCATCAAAACAGCACCAAAACAACATCAGCCAAAACAGCAAAAAATGCCACCAAAATGGCACCAAAGTATCAGCCAAATGGCACCAGAGTTTTAATGCATTGTATCTTCACCATCAGCCAAAATGGCACCAAAACTACATGATTTTGCATTGTATCTTCACCATCTGCCTCTTCATCACCAAAGTCTCATGCATTTTGCTACCTGGAGAGAATTGTAGTAGAAAAACTACATCAGGATCACATCAACAAAAACTACAGAGAAGGTTGATCACCAATCAAAACAAGGAACATGCAGTAATAGTATAACCTTCATGTCCATTCGCTACTCATCGTCGTCGATACGAAAACAAGGAACTCTATGCCCACTCCTGTTTTCCTCATCATCACTACAATATTGCAGCATAGTATGATCAGTCCGGTCTTCCTCATCCTCACTCTCATGTCCATCCGCTACCACCTTTCTTCTTTTCTTGATGCCTTCAACTGTTGCAGCACCAACGATCACACGTTCCCGGTCCCTTCGCACTTTGCTTTGCACCGGAACTTCCATAGAGTCATCATCAGCTTGCAACAGAACTTCCGTAGAGTCATCATCTTGGTATGTTAGTCCACCATCATCGGGGCCCTTTTCCACTTCAGTTTCAGTCACACTCCACAAGTGTCTGTGCTAAAAGTGTTACACAACTCACATTTTCCGCGCAAAAGAGTGGCTGGCAGATAAAACACCATTGTTGCTTGTGTTGTTAGAATAAAGGGATCACTCTTATACCAGCACCTTGCAGTGTTGATGCTTTTGAAGTGGCCATCATATTTGACAAAAGAGTCTCTCTTCTTCTTGCTACCAAGCTCAAACTAGTCACAGCGAAATAAGACTACCGAGCGATGGATGCCTCCACTAGAGTTGTACTGCAACTCTACAATGCTTCTCAACTGACCATAGAAGTCAATGATCTCACCATCATGTGACCCCTCAGTGACGATTCCACTATTCTATGTCTTCCTTTTTTCCTCGCGGTCAACAGTGTGGTACCGGACACCGTCAGCAATGCATGCTGAATACACTCTCACTCGCTTATCTGGTAAACATGCCAAAGCAAATAGATCATCACTGACCTTCTTCTCCTCATGCAACTTTCCAATCTGCACAAATAAACCATTTAGAAAACAATGGTATTTAACAATTGGTGAATAACACAGAAAACATAAAACATGTGGCTAAAGATCTCACATGATTCTTAAACCACTTAGCAAACCCCTTGGCAACCCTTTTATCAACATGGATATTTCTTTCTTCCTGATTTAACTCTTCCTTGCATTTCCTACAATGCCAACAAAACATGTGAATTAAAACATTAGGCTGGTGCCAACCCAAGCAAAAAAAATATAATGAGTGCACAAGATATAACGTACTCGATATATGGTAGAACCTCGGCGCAATTGCTGAGCACAAACCAAACCATCTTGTCCTACTCATCACCAGCCTCCAAGTATTGTGAGGCTCCAAGAAAGTTCACACCATGGTTGAAAACAGAGACATCACCACTTTGCGAATCAGACCGCTCTCTATTTCTGCTCGGTCGGTTCCATCTTGTTTCCACATCACCAAAGTATCTAGAGCAAAAAGTCAAGCACTCGTCAATGACATATGCTTCAGCAATAGAACCTTCAGGTCTTGCCGTGTTTTGCACATAATGCTTACAAGTAAGCAGCCTTCTTTCGATTGGGTACATCCAACCGTATTGCATAGGGCCTCTAAGCATTGCCTCTTTTGGTAAGTGCACCGCCAAATGGACCATCACGGTGAAGAAAGCTGCAGGGGAAATCTTCTCGAGCTTGCAAAGAATAATTGTGATTTCTTTTTCAAGTCTTTCCAGGATAGTTAACTTGAGTGTTTTGCAGCACAGTTCTCTAAAGAAATTTCCCAGCTCAGCAACCGCTTCATATATATCCTTGTCCATGATTCCTCGGAGGCCCGCTGGTAAAATCCTTTGGAGGAGGATGTGAAAATCATGGGTTTTTAGTACTGAAAGCTTGAATCCATCAGAAGTAACACACTTTGCTAGGTTAGCAGCATAACCATCTGGAAATTTCACCGCTCTTAGGAATTCACAGAATGCAAGCTTTTGTTCTTTACTCATTGTATACCATGCTCGTGGCATTTCAAATGAATCTTCATCTTCATTGTGCCGTAGATGCAAATCTTCTCTTATGCCCATGTCCTCCAAATCAAGCCTAGAACTAACCGTGTCCTTTGTCTTCCCTTCAATATTCAGAAACGTCCCTAGCATATTCTCGCATATGTTTTTCTTAATGTGCATTACATCGAGATTATGCCTTAATTTCATATCAGCCCAGTATGGCAGGTCCCACAAACAAGACCTCCGGTCCCAACATTGACCTTCCTCACGCTTTATTTTCTTCGCAAGCTTTCCTGGTCTCACATCTTTCACCTTTTCAAGTTGCTGCTCCAGCTCTTCTTTAGTGAATTCAGCTGGCTTGTCATGGGTTTCATTCTCACCATTAAAATCTTTGCTTCTTCGCCAGCGATGGTTTCGGGGAAGAAAGCAGCGGTGCCCAATATAGCAGATCTTGCTCCTTATTCTCTTTGAGCAAGGGTCTTTGTCACAATGGACACAAGCCTTATAACCCGCTGTGATCCTCCCAGATAGAGTGTGCAGAGCCGGGAAATCATGGATGGACCATATGATTGCAGCACGTAGATTGAACTTTTCTTTCGGACTCAAGGCATCGTATGTAGGTACACCAGTCCAGAGCTGGAGCAGTTCTTCTACGAGGGGCTCCATAAAGACATCAAAATCCTTTCCTGGAGACTCTGGACCCGGGATAAGCAATGACATCATGAAGTTGGACTGATCCATGCATGCCCATGGTGGCAGGTTGTACGGCACCACAAAAACTGGCCACATGCTATAAGACGTGCTCATGTTCCCAAACGGATTAAACCCATCTGTGGCAATGTCAAGTTTTATGTTCCTTGGATCTGTAGCAAAATCTAAATGTATACGGTCAAACTCTTTCCATGCCTCTCCATCCGCTGGATGGCCCAGCTCATTGTCCACAGGTTGCCGCTTCATCTTGTGCCACTATACCTCACGCGATGATTTCTTCGAGATGAACATCCGCTGCAGCCTTGGTATCAAGGGAAAGTGCCTCAATACCTTCTCCGGTATTGACTTCTTCCCATCAGCATCTTTCCACCTAGATGCATTGCATTTTGGACAGTTGTCATGCTTTGCTAAATCCTTCCGAAACAAGACACAGTTATTTGGGCACACATGTATTGACACATAACCTAACCCTAGCCTGCGGATTATGCTCAATGCTTCATCATAAGATCTGGTAACACAACTATCAGGGAATTGCAAGCTCAAAAGACGGAGTATTGCGTTGAACGCGGCATTGCTAATCTGGTAGAAAGACTTGATGTGGAGTAACTTCACTGTGAAGGTAAATCTTGAAAATTTACCCCCTTCATGAGCTGCGCGCTTCGCCTCCTCTAACACCTCAGCAAACAACGACTTCTGTCCATCAGCACGATCTTCAGCATCGTACAAATCCTTTAATAGGTCAGGAATCCTATCATCTTCATGCCCATCCTCTTCCTCCAAAACAGCATTATCTCGCAAAACCTTTTCCATGAAATCAATGCCAGCATCACCACCACCCATCATATGAGGGGCCTCTGTATCAGCTTCAAAATGTTGAGGTTGACTGTCTAAAGGTTCTCCATGATATATCCATCTATCATATGTGTTGGACATCCCATTAAGAAGCAGATGATCTTCCACTCTTCCTTGAGCCATTCTTGGACGGTTGAGGCATTCGCAGCATGGGCAAAGAATGTGAGCATCGTTGGCAAAATTTGCCCGAACAAATGCCATGAAATCATCAACTCCTTTCATATATTCTTTCGAAAACTTTCTAACTCCTTTTCTAATCCAGCTTCTGTCCATCTGCCAAAGACAACAAATTGTTGCAACTTAGCAAATCAATTTAAGTGCATCAACATTAATTAATGAAAGTAATGGAAGCTAAAATTCCAGAAAATAAGGTAGGCACCCAACTTTATATGCTAACTGCCTAAGCACAACATTCAGCTATTTCCAATTTCTCACTACTTTAGTCCAGTTCACATGGTTTACTGATTTCACATGGGAGCAATAAAAGGTAGTTCAAATGGAAATACAGGTTTCACATGGGAGAAAAGAAAAGCTAACTAAAACATGATGGTTCACAAAAAAACAGAGGTGGTTAAACAACCAACAATAACAATATATGCTGCCACTAAGAACTATTTTG